TGACGGTTCAATAATATTGAATCAAGGAAAATATTCAACGTCACATGTAGGTCGTTCGTTGGAAGAAATGTGAGAAATGACGTCAGTCCATCAAACGAGCACGGCTGTTCACCTGGAAATGAGTGGAATGCAAACGACAGTAATGGATTCCGTCAGGACCGGCACAGGATGAACAGGTGGAAGGATGCCTTCAGTTAAATATTAGAGTTAGCTACACTTCGATAAATAACTTATCGAACGCGCTGAGATGGGATCCGGCAATCAGAAACGACATTACGGATTAAAAATATTCAGTAGCCGACTCCCTTTTCAAGCTTTTGAAACCAGGCTGAAAAAGAGGGTAACCAGCAGAACTGAAGCGACGGAACGACATACAGCATCATTCCTTGGCAAATAAGCTTAGCCTTAAATTTAGATGCCTGCAGTTCGCATTGATCACTATATTTCAGGATGAAGTCAGCGGCACAACAAACGATCTTGGTCTCTGCCAAAATTATGTTCTTCTTTTGGAAATATTGTTTTATTTTTACCAAGGGACGGCCAAAAACATTTGCTCCGAATTACGAGTACATAGATTCAAGTCAACCATCTACCGCTGTGGTCGGACATGTCATCAGGCTCTTTCATTTCGGACCGAGTATCAGTGACAGAATATCCGCCGTCCCCCCGCCCCCCAAAAAAACGTCAAATAAGTGTAAACATGACTTCTATGAGTTATGCAGCTACTATATGCGCTACGTAATGAGCTATGCATCCAGTGAGCAGTGAGAGTAGATTTAAAACAGCGGATGGACGGCAGAACAGGAGAGCGGACTCCGTCCACCGCCTCGAGGAGCGTCTGTCCTGACCGGTCCGCCGGCTCTCGCCTGCGCTCGGCATCAGGTCACGGCCCCTTTCGGCGAACTCCCCGGCCGCTGACGCCGGAGAAGTTGCCCCCAACTCGTCGCTGATCAGAGGCACCAATCAGTGCCCGTTGACAGGCGCCGATCGGCACTCCCGGAACAGCGGCCGCCGACCGGCGCACAGTGGGCGATCCGGCCGGTGTAGCCTCGTGAAACCTATCGACATTCATAACTTCCATGTTTTTGAAGCTAGGACCACAAAATTTAGGAGCAACCTTCTTGAATATCCAATGAGCATATGTTTCAAATAAGGACTATCTCTTTTAGGATTTGTGCTCTGTGGCGAGCTTGCAATTTGCCTTATTGCCGCTCGAATAACGCATGAATACTTTTGAGGGTAGGTCGAAATTTATGACGATATGAGCTGGGTAGGACATTGAAATGGTGTGTACCTCCGTAGAAAATTGCTTCCAAACCAACTTTTTATTCAAACGATTATGCCCTACCAATTTATACATATCATGAAACAGTGTAAATCTCGCCCGGCAAGGCCCCATTTCATAACGTGACCCAAGCAGCGGGTTTGGTTTTTGGTAAATAACTTCGCAAAAAATGGCCGCAGAACCACGATTTTGACATCGTCGTGTTAACCTTGCTCAGGCGCGTCGAATGGTATACTTTTTGTTCAGGTGAGGCCACTGTAAGGTGTTGACCTCGAGTCAAGGTCAGGTCAGAGGTCTTCAAATCACGAAGTTGGTCAAAGGAGGTCATATCGCATATCATTCGATTCGGCAGGTCTTCTGGAGTCCATTGGTGACCTTGTCGACTCTCTAGCTCAATTTGATCGGGAGTTATTGACGAAAAACTCGTATGACCCTAGTGACGTCATAAATGACGTCATGCAAGGTCAACAATGAAAAAATGCAGCATCAGATCTTGCAAGGAGTGCATGAAGTAACGATTCCATGTACTTGAGGCAATTGAATATCATTCCTGGCGCCAAAATAACAGTTTTCATATTTCTCCATTGACTTATAGGTGAGGTCACGTGACCAACCTGACTTTATGTGACATTTAGGAAAAATCTGAGATATAAAAGTTGTAAGACCTCTAAAGGACAATAAGTCCTGCAAATCTCACCTCCCTGTGAAAGTTACTCTGGCACTGAGAGCGTTGAAAGGCTGCGACATCTGAGGATCGTGCAGAGGTTCATTTATGACGTCATAGGTCAGTGACCTGACCTGACTTGAAAGTGCGGTTGGTGTCACAAGATCCAGCGTGCATCAAAGGTCAGGTATGCCAAGTTGCAGCTCTCTATTGCCTGGGTGTTTTGAGCTATCGCGAAAACACCCTTTGGGGCATTTACCACTTGTGCTCAAGTGCACCAAGCCACGGCCAACCCTTAGAAGAAAAAAGTGTCTGGATGCCAGGGCTGCAAGTGGCTGCAAATTTTCACTGGCTCCCCTAATAGATAGTGTCTTAGTGCATGCGATACAGCATTATTTTCAGTTCATCCTCGTAAAACTTTTTTTGCTGGGCTTGGTTAATTCAGTGAACGTAATGTTCAGTGGTAGAAAAAAATATAAAAAGTTAAACTAATTATAAGACATTTTGAACTGATTTTGTCTAATTGCTTTCTATGGCGGAATCTCTAAACATCTAAATTTCACTTTCCATGCAAAATGGATGCTCAGCACCTAGCAATTTCATCGTTCCGCAAAATATTCAAAGAGCGTAAAAATCGGCTGTGATTATCCTCACTATGAAGTGTTACGGAACGCTGTCTTTAACGATACTTTTGTCTACGAAAAAATGTCTCCTGAGCCATGCAAATGCACTAATCGTAATCTTTGATGAATTTTCTGTCGACTAGTATGCGTTGTTTTCCAATTTTCGGAAAAAAGTGTCTTTGAGGTTTCGCGAGGCTAGACCGGCCCGATCGCCTACCGTGCGGCGGCGAGAGGCGGCCGACGCCGCACACGGAACTCGCAGAGTTATTTATTAGTTCCACGATCGTTCCTGGTTCTCTATCAATTACAAAAATAGATATTCCTCAAGTCGATGTTTGTCGCTCAGTAGTGAAAACTTGCGGCAATACGTAAATGACATTTAGAAGATGAAAATGATTATGTGTGTATGATGTAATTAAAAGCGCAATACATACAAATTCTACTGACGTGTTTCGATAAATGACATGTAATGAGGTCACCGAACAATCCTTTAGCCTTCAGAATAGCTTGGAGCACGATAATACACATCAAATGCATAAAGTCTTTATATTTATTATTGGCCCGTTCAACAGGAATACTCCAATTCACTGGCACAAACAGGAAGTGTGTCAGTCGCGGGATAAGCTGACAATCGCAGCAGCTACTCAATAAAGGGAGCGTTCCGAACTCAGCAGCAAGCCCCGCGGACAATGTGACCAATGGAGAGGAACGCGGCACAATGGAAACTCAGCGCGCCGTTACCGCACAAAGTTAGCCGGCCAAACTATAGCTGCACGGCCTCCAAAGGCGCCAATCTATTAGCGGATTCTGCTATCTGTGACCCTGCCAGAGAACCATAAAGTTACGTAATGAGCAGTTCACCAAACTACTCGCTTGTGAAGGTTTCCGATAGTTGCGTAACATGGCACTAGGCTAAATCGTCTGGGGAGATAACGCATTCATTTACCCACTAACGCTGATAACCGAACCAGATCAATTCAACAAGTGAGCTCATTCGAAGACGGCAATGGGTACCGCTATTGGAGACTTTTCTTTGCGAAGTTTTGGTTCACAAAACAAGATCTCAAAACATACCGACGGCGGAAGCTGTGTATTGCGTGACTTATACCACACTCTTTGAACGGTTGTCTATGAGCATTACAAGTCCGTGATAGGTTGGTTTAAATATCACGATGTGATGATAAGTGGGCAGGTGAGCAATAAAATAGCACCTTTGGTGGATAGCAACCATCAACGTGAGCCATGCCCGATCCCTTATTATCACTTCAATTAAATCACTATCATCTTTCTTAGGAATCGACTTCGCGCCGCAGAAGGGCTAAGTCTTGGCTTGGAGGGCCCTCAATCACAAACGAACCTCGGAGCATCACGCGAAGGTCCCCGTGACCTGTCGCACTCGCGTGATTCGCCGGAATTGTCGGCACTCTGTCTGGCGGAGAGTCGTGTGTAACAGCAAAGAACGTCTGTGTGTTTTCAGAAAACTGAGAGAGCATGTCCGGTTCCACATCGCGCCTTACAGCCCCGGACGGCGCCCAGGGAGCGAGAACGCGATCAGTTCCGCATACATCGCTTCTGATGACGACACCCGACGGAAATTTCCTTTGCATGCCACCCATATCCGATTTGAGCCCCGAGTCAAATGCATGCATAGGCTCGTTGGTCATGAGTAGGGCGTGCGATGCTACAAGCAAATCACATCATTTAGCCGGCGATGCCTCGATACGAGACCGGCCGCCCTGAATAGACGCCATCCCATTGTAGGCCCAGATGGATGCTCCCATTCCAACTCGGATGACAAACGCCAATGGGGGGCCGACGGGAACTAAAGGCGTCGAAACAATGCCCGGATTATTTATGAGTCTCATATCGTTGGCGTCACCTCATCCGCTGTCCGTATTGTACCAGCCGCCCGGGGCACACGCGTCTCGCGGTGTCCGCCGCGCCGGGTGACCGTTACCCTGACGAGGGAGTGTTACAGCGCGGCGCGCGGTCCGATCGCTCGACAGGGTCACAAAGATGGCCGCTGCCACAAACAGCCAGCCGTTATGCCGAGGCGGTGCGATAAAGGCAGCGCGTGCCATTTAACTGTGACTATAATACAGCCGCCACCATCCGGAGAGCCATGACCTCAAAATTATGGCACCTATTTGGAAAACCATGATTGTGACCAGCGTTCGGACCTCTAACTACTTAGTAAGGGTACTCGAGGTGCGAGCATATGAAGAGTCAAACATTGCCTGAATAGAGGTTTTCCTATGGCGACTAAAAGAGGTACTTGGCGACGTCTTGGCGGAGTAATATCTCCGCAGCTTGCAAGACTCTCAACGATGCCTCATGCTTATTCATACAACACGCGTGGATATTACGCCCCTTAACCTGAAGCACAAGAACCGTTGTTTCCACCGATAGACCACCTGGCCCGACCTACCTGACACTGTAGAGCACACCCCCGTCGGCGAATATCCGGATATACATGTTGGGCATGGTGATCTCGTGCAGGTGGCCTGTCTTCTCGTTCTTGAAGAACAGGTCGGGCATCCAGATTCGGCGCGGGTCGGTCAGTGTTAGGTAGTTGACTCGACCTGGGGAGGGAGACCCAGAGGCGGCGTCAGACCCCATCGCGGTGGTGTTCGAACATCACACATATCAGGGGATGGAAAACTAGGAACTCTTATCGACGTTCGAGTCAGGGGCAAAGCTCTAAGCAAAACAGTTTTGTACAGAACAACCCCAATCAAATAAATGTGCAATAATCATCAGATTAATAATCTAAAAAGGAATACAACTTATAACAAGTATCCGGTAGACATATAATCACAAGTAATTTCGTCTTGCTCAAACAATGTTCCTAGTCTCCTTTTGCCTGAGTTCAATGATAATTTAGATTGGTCTTCCATTGGTCTAGCAAATGCATTCCATCAGCATTCAGCAGAAGTCTCCAATGCCAATAGAGTAAGACCCTGACATGCCACTGGCCTGTGCTGTATTGTGTAATTGGTGGTTTTGGCAGTGCCGGGGTGTTGGTGGCGGTGAGGTTGACGTTGGTTGAGGGTGACATTGACGGGCCCGTGGTAGACCACCATCAGTCAGCGTCACCTGTCCCTCCCGGAACCTGTGCTGACGCTGGACGCAGGTCGACCGCAGTCGATAGCAATTCGTCGCTCAACCACAGTGTTTGCGCCATCCGGAGCGACCGAACACGGCGGCGGCAAAACGCCGACCGCCATCAGACCAACAGACCATTAGGCCACCAGACCAGCAAACCATGGTAGACCATCACACCAGCAGACTAAGACAGGCATCCCGACCGGTGACCAGTGTCAGGGGCACGGAAGACAGGCCATATTCAGCCACTCACCTCCCATGTCGTCGAACTTGAGCCGTTCGTCGTTCCACTTCTCTCGGAACAGCAGCTGTACGCTGTACTCCTGTAACGGTGGAACGGAGGTGAGCGGAGGGCTAGGTTTTCACTGTGGGGAGTGACACAGGCACGCACGGCATATAAGTGCCAGGAGGCGAGTGGAGCGAGATCGGTATGGCCAAACTCTTCACCGTTCAACTTATATCGAAAGTGATAGCATAACCCTCGCCCTGGCAGGGCATTTTTCATAACACGGCCTGGCAGGGGGGGGGGGGTCGATGCGACCCCCCCTCGCGATTGGCTCCTATGGCACCTAGAAACACCACATTTGGTAGGTAGGTGGGCCCCCTGGAGTTCTCGCCCCTGTGCAAATTTGGTTGCTCTAGGTCAATATTTAGGGGGGTTTTTGGGGGTATAAATGTAAAAATTTCGCTAAAAACAGGTCAAAAGTTTTTCGCTTATAACTTTTGATCTAATTAAGATAGAGCAAAAAAAAAGCACCAGTGAACTCAGCACGTCAAGGCGCGTCGAATGATATACTTTTTAGCTTGCTTAAGTGTACTTAAAGTTTTTCTTAAATTTTAAGTAAACTTAAATTAATAAATTAAGTTAAAGTTAACCAAATTGCATCATATCGCATATCATTCGATTCGGCTGATCACCAGGAACACAATGATACCATTTTTTAAGCTCTAGCAGCATTATGTGCCAAGTTATTGGCAAAAACGTCATTTGACCTCAGTTGACCTCATTTGACCTGACCCATGGATAAGTACACCACACAAAGAAGCACCAAGTGACCTGCTGTTAAGTACTGTGGTTTCAAAGCACAAAAGTGATAGAACGAAGCGGATATCTCCAGTATTTTCCGAATTTAGTATTTTCCCATAGGCTTAACATTACGACGTAATGACCTCTAACTGACCTCAGGTCAGTGACCTCAAAAAACCCGAACTATATGTTATACAACTCGGTGAACTTAGCACATCCTGAAAGTTTGAAGGAAATCAGTGCAAAACTGTGAGTTGGACAGGTGCAAAAAGAAAATTGAAATTTGACCATGACCTTGTACCGGTTTTTCTGACCTGGTGACCTGACCCAAGGTCACCCGGACCTGAAATTTTCAGGTCATATGTAAAAAGGTTGCCCCATAGGCTGTGCCAAAGTTTTTACGCTATCTTCGAAAAACCTTAGGGGGGGGTCGCATCGACCCCCCCTCCCCTGCCAGGGCGAGGGATAATTGGAATAAGTTTTTTTTCGATTATCATACAAATAAGTAATTCATTTTCTTCGTAGCTGAGTTTCACTTTGCTCCAAGTGACGACGGGGAATGAATGGTCGAGCTGTCAGCGATATTTTACACTTGACATTTGGCGAAGTTCAACTGTGTTCTACCTGCAATAGCAATGACACTGTGAGATGTTCTTGCCCAAGTGATAAATGAAATGAGCATTTACTGATTGAAAAATGCAGCTTATATTGATTAGTTAGACGAAACAGCAAATGGCAGTTAGCATGACTGTCAATAAATCTAGTTGTTATTATTGATACGTTCGTTCCTATAAAAGAAGCAGAAATGTTCGAAGCGATATCGCGTTACAAGCATGTGATATCTACATAGAGTGAAATAAGCAATGTCAAAAGAGAACCAATATAGAGGTCAGTATACATTCCAACGTGCTCCAATGCCCATCGACACGCATTATACGAGCAACAGCCTCCACATGTCCAATGACACATGCACGTCATTCTTTTTTCTCATGCACAGCTTTGCACCCAAGTGGTCACGTGCACACAAGTTCCCACTCTGGAACACCGGAAAAGCCGCGGGTATCGGTTTGTTCACGAGATTGAGAGCAAAGGGTTAAGTGTTGATGGCTCGGGCTTCTTTCCGGGAGCACCGGCTCGACACTGAAAGTCGAGCTCTGCTCCGTCGCGTCGGGGGGGGGGGAGGGGATGATGGGGTCGGTGGTCACCTCGCAGCCTACAGGTATTTCAGACTTGGTAACCCATCTCTGCCGGTTTTCTCAAGCGTGTTTCTTTTTTCCAACCAAAGGAAGGCGCTATACCCGAAGATGCTTCTTGGTAAACAAACCAAACAAAAACAAACATAACCTAACCTCACCTGACCTAACCTACAACCTACAAACCTACAACCTACAACCTAACCTACAACCTAACCTACAGACCTACAACCTACAAACCTACAAACCTACAACCTACAAACCTACAACCTAACCTACAACGCGCCAAAAAGTTCGGCCGGCGGCGGGGATCGAACCCTAGTTATTAGATCACGAGGCGAGTGTGCTCACCGCTATACCACGCAGCCAGCTGGCCGATGAGAGGTGTAAGTCACTTTTCAATGACGCAATGGGATATTCTCCGTATAGCGCCTTCCTTTGGGTGGAAAAAAGAATTACGCTTTTCTCAAGGCCCACACTGCAGGCCACCATCGGTTACAGGGCTGAGAACTGTCCGACTGTCTCGACCGACCGATGTGTTAGAGAAACTCTGCAGGCCAATGGTGAGACACGATGGTATTCGCCGGCTGTAAATTCTACCCCGATTCCTACGTGTCGTGCGGCCACTGACCCATTTCCCCTGAATCCTTTCCGCGCTAAAACCAAGTGCGTCTCTCCCGGCCATCTCTTATTCACTCGGTAAGACGAAAACAGGGCTTTATTCGGGTCTCGGTCTGGGCGGGCGCTATCTGCTCCCTGGGCGCGCGGTATAATCCGGCCGTCAGCTGGGGCTCGCTCGCGCCGCTGGCGGCCGGCCGGCGCGTCCGCCACCGGGGCCAGTGTTCATTTAATAACTGGCGGCAGCAGTAAACAGCGCGCGCCACCGTCGCCCGCCTCAGACGCCGCCCGGGAGACGGCTGAGGTCGATGAGTGCCGTCGCGGGAGCGTCGCCTCGCGTCCGGCTTGCGTTGCCGGCCGGCGCTGTTTACGATGTCGGCGCGGCGGTGCGCGCTGCGCCCGTGCCCTGGGGAGCGGGACAGCGGCGGCCGAGGCGCCGCGCCGTCTGACGGACGGCCGCCTGCCGCCGCTCCGGGCGGCCCGACTGTCGGCGGCGGTCACTGTCGAACCGGACTGACGCCAGCCGCGGACCGCAGCCGTCGGACCGCACCATCACTCTCCCGGCGGGACTTCGAGGAGCAAAACGAGCCCGGACGCCCATCGCTGATTGATGACTGCCGATGTGCTTCTGGGAAGCAGCGCCGTCGACTGCCCCAGTTCCCGATCATCCCCGAAAATGGAACTAGGTTAGCACTAGCACTAAGTTAGCGCACTAGATTAGCAAGAATTTTTATTTCACCGCTTGCATCCCAACCAGACCCGCTGGGATTAGCTATAGCCACTCTGACCCACTAAGATTGGCTGCATCCCGTTCTGACCCGCTGGGACCGGCTGTGTCCGCTATGGACATCAGCAACGAACATTCTGGCCAGCGGAGCGTCATTGGGCAGCGGCCGATATCACAACCAGGCGACGACAGCAGCCGAACACCAACGAAACGGCGAAACACAGGTGAAACACAACAGGGGTGCCCAGAAACGGAACGGTGGCGACGAGACAGACCCGGAGGGGAAGAAAAACGGAACGAGAAACATGAAGGAAAGAGACAGAAAAGCAGAGGGGAGAAAGAGAGCGAGAGCGACAGCGGTCGAGAAGAAATGAAGGTGACCCACATCGGCGATGACGAATGGACAGAAGTGGAAGAGGCATCGACCGATTCCGGTCCCAGCGGGCCAATCGCCGCCGGCGCCGCCAGCTGTCTCGGCCGGCGGCGGCTCCCACGCCGCGCGCGTCGATGCAAATCCTATTTCCCCGGTCAATCAAGCAGCAGCGCCACTAAAACAACAGAGAGGCCGGCGCGCCGGTGCGCTAGCCGCATGCGCATGCCACGGCGCCGAGCGGCAGCGGCCAGCCGGCAGGTCGAGCAGCGCCCGCCGCCGGCCGGCCGCCGACCGCCGGCCTACACCAAACTCACCATGCTGTAGTCATCTATTTTACTGATCGACCTGATGAGGAGGTTCACGGACACATGTGTGGGTTGGTCCACTGGCGCAAACAGACACGGGGGTAGGTCAGTGGGCGGCTCCGGCGGCACTATCCCGCCCCACTGTTCACTGACTGCTGCGTATGTACAGATGCTGGACGACGGGCCGACGGGGCGGGCGGTGGGCGGTGGGCGGGCAGCGCGGGCGGCAGGCGGCGGGTGGGGAGCTCAGAGCTAGTAACCAGCAGCGCCGGCCGGACGGAGGGCCGCATGCCACCTGGAGTGCCGCGCCGGCCGGCCGACGGCGGCGGCAGCGTCCACTGCCCCCAGCGCGCCGGCCGGCCGGCAGCGACGGCCGCGAGTGCGGCAGGTGCGGATCATTCCATGCCGAACGCTAGCGCTAGAGAGCATGATCCGAGAGCACTTACCATCGTGACATCGTCAATGCGAGCAATGCTACGGATCATCAAATTTATGGCCACTACGGTCGGTCCGTCTAGGCGGGAGAACGGGGACCGGAATTAGCTGAGGCTGGCGCCGTGTAACGCCATCCAGACACACACACACCAACACACGCAGACACTGTGACGCCGGCAGATCGGTGTCAGTGTACACCGGGACCCGCCCCGGCCAGGTCAGGTCACCGGGGTCGGATCAGCGCAAACAGTGTCAGTGAGGCGACGTGCACGCGCAGACTCGGCCCAGCGAGAGCCGGCCGGCGTCCTCCCAACACTCCCGAACACGCAGACAGACATACAGACAGAGAGACGGCCCGCGGGCGGCGGCGAGACGGGGCTCTCCCGTGACAGGCGCAGCGCGTCCACACCGATACCAGCACCGTCGGCGCTAAGCTCTAGCCAAAACAAGCGCCGCTGGCAAACGGTGCGCAACTCCGGTCGGCAAGACTGGCGCAGGGTTAGCCACATCGAGGGGTCGCGGGGGAACCACACACACACACACAGCCGGGCAGCGCGCCGGCGGCCTCTGCGGGTCTCCGGGTTGCGCGGACACTGACACACAGCTGCCGCCTCGCCCGCCGCTGGGCCGCCGCCTGAGCTCGGGTCCGACTGGGGTAGGGGGCCCACCACCGCGGGGCACACAACACACAGCACACACGCACACACTAATGGAGGCCACTAGCACTGCCCCACCGCGTAATTAATCCCCACAGCCCCAGGTTAGTCCCATATACAACACCCACACTGCCGGAGCGTGGGTCAGGTCAGCTGGGTGGGATCTGGTGGGAAACACTCGTCACACAGGGGGCTTGTGGCTGAGAGGACGGTCGGCGCCACCGCAAACGGACCGGTAACCTGTGGATACGACTCTGAAACTGACCACGGGACACCAGACTGTCAGCCACAAGCTGTTGAAACGCACAGGTCACAGACGATACATGTCATAGTCAGGGGAAGGAGGCCCAATTTTGGGCCGAATAACGCAAAATTGGGTAGAGCTTAGCAAAGGGTGGTTTCTGGGACAAAAATGACCGCTGAACCCGAATCTGACCGGTGCGCACCTCTAACTAATGTTGCACCACTTCCAGAGCACGTGCAACTGCGTGGATCTTCTTTTTTGAAGGATGGTACCCTTTTTATATATTTTAAAATAAAATTAGTCGTGTAGTTGTGTTGTATTCCAAAACTTTAATATTATTGTCAAAATTCATTGCATAAATGAAAATCCTAGTTAACGCATATCGCAGACAATCTATGACGTCACTGTGACGTCATTTATTCGTAAACTGACGGGAAAATGAGGTGTGACAACAAAACATTTAACTTTATTCACAGGATACGCTCATTGGCGGGTTCAAAATGCATTGAGCATGCTCAGAAAATATCTCCCCGTTGCAAAAAGTAAAAATCGTCTGGATGGAGGTGCCATTTTGGCCTACAGGGGGCGAAAACCGCGGAGTGTGCGTCTTTACCCCAAATAGTTTTTGTGCAATAACTTTTGATACAATGCTTGCATTTCGTCCATTTTACCATCGTTGTGATTCTCTCACCGAGACGCATCGAATAGTATGCATATTGGCTTCGATTGGTTAAGATTACATTTTACCACAGTTCATGAGCTCAGGTTGATTATCACGCTAGTGAAGGTTATGACCTGAGGCCTCTTGCACCAAACTACCTACCTAGGTAAATTCCGATTTTACCTAAATTCTCTTGCACCAAACTACCTACCAAAAAACGCTACCGTGAAAATTTACCTAGAAATTCTACCGAGCGGCATCGGAACTTACCAGTTGTTAAAGTCCGACCGGCTGTTTTCCTCTTGCACCGAAAGCCGGAAAGAAGTACTCGCGGAGGAATTTTTGACGATTTGACGGTAAATCGGGCTTCCAAAATAACTAGCAAAACCTTAGGTAAAATGATTCAATTAGTGACAATAGGCACAATTCATGATAGTCCACGGGTACTTTTATGTAAATTAGGCATTACAAAATGTTTAGACAATGATAAATCAATGTTTTATGAGTGAATAATAATATAATTGACCAAATGCTCCATGGGTTCACAGAGGTGCTTCTCCGTACCAAGGCGATAAACTTCCGTAGCAGAACAGCCAGGTTGAAGACTCACTCGTTGCCATGGAAACGAAGCTTATTTGTTCAAGTAATTTAATATCAAAATAACTTCTATCGGTATTTACGTAAATGAAAAATGATTTCATAATACCAAAATGTATATTAACCCGCGCCCTGCTGGGGGGGGGGGGTGTTTGAACACCCCCCCTTGTGGTTTTTCGCGAATATCTCAAAAACGGCGGCGCGGAGCGCCGCCGTTTTTGGTACACCTTATAATACATCAATTCTACACATGTTGTGAAAATTTCAGACCAAGGTCATTCAAGGTCAGGTCACCAGGTCACTTGAAGTGACCTCACCTCATAAAAAATTTCAATGTCTGTCATAGCTACACCGAGTGACCGATCGCTTTGAAACTTTCAGCGATTGCTAAGAGCAATAGCATATACAAAATGTATATCTCAGAATTTTGATATCGATGACCTAAGGTCAGGTCAATTTTGCGACCTCCCCATTATAAGTCAATGGGAGAAAATTGAAATGCGCCTCTTTTGGATGAAAGACATTATACACACTCCCAAACACCGAATTACAAGTGGTTTAGACACACTGAACTTGAAAATGGTGTCCGTGACCCTTGTTTATGCCCTGAGGTCATCTTAGGTCACGAATGGTATCTAACAGTTTTTCGCAAATAACTTTTGATAGAGGCATGCTAGAGCGATGAAAACGCCTTAGATGTGTTCAGCTCGACGATACGGATCGACTGATATGCAACATGACCCTTTCCGGTCAGGTCATGACCTTGACCTGAGGTCAAATTTTCAAGTTGACCTTTCAAGGTCAAGTTATAGTTCATTCGATGCGTCTTGACGAGAGGAACACGATGCCGGTAAAAGTAAGCTCGTACATGGCTTGGGTCAAAAGTTATTGCAGAAAAACTGTTTTCGAAAATATCGGCTATTTTTGCAGTTCTTGCCCCCTGCAGGCAAAACCGTTGACCTTAGGTCAAATCTGAGAGGATACTCAGAAAGGGCGTTAATAGGGCTATCGAATGCGCTTTTCCGCGGCGCTGTAGCTCTATTGGTTCCCGAGTTATGCGTTGGCTTCTTGGAAATTTTCGACATTCGACCTGGAAATCGGCGAAATTTTGCCTTCAATGACCTCTGGTGACCTGACCTTTGACCTGAACAAAAAATTGACCGAAGTGATTTCGTCATTATTTTTTACGCTCTTTCGAACGCCGCCTTCCGCGTATCGCTACGTGGCCCAGGAGCCGAGTTACAAGGGGGGGTGTTCAAACACCCCCCCCAGCAGGGCGTGGAAATCCAGGACCCCCAGCAGCGCGCGGGTTAATAAAAACAATATCCATTTAATTGTTTTCTTTAGTTACTATTTGTTTGCGCCCACAAATAATTCGTCGCCAAACAGCCAATCAAAACAAATCCTAAAAACGCGAGCTGTCAACTTTACCTAGGTAGGTAGGTAGGATGGTGCAAGAGAAGCTACCGCCGTAGGTAGTTTTACTAGGTAGGTATTTTGCCGATTCTACCTAGCTAGGTATTTTGGTGCAAGAGGCCTCAGACTGGAAATGGTCATGTAGTTTACCAATCACTTTGGATTATCAAGATGATCGCATGGAAAATGCTTTCATTGTTCTTGTGTGGTTTGATCAAAAGTTATAGCTGAAAAATTGCTGATGACGTTTTCAGGACGTCACATGACAAAATTCAAAGGTAGATATAGAAGTCGTTCACTTACATATGTATTGGCGCCGCAAAGCATTCGTAAGGCATGCAGCATGCTTGCGAGATTTTAGAATTAAATGTGTGCCTAACAGGCGTAGTTTTCGTTTATTACGTTGGCATACGTCCCTAATAAGGTGGGCATAAACTTCGTCACAGAGGGTTTCACATGTGTTATGTCCCAAGTTCTTATCAATGGCTTGTGGTTATTCATGTTCTTAGACGACACATACCCGAGCATTGAAGAACACGTAAAAGTAACCGGAGAGAATTTGATTCTGGTTGGTTGTATTTATCTCTTCTGGTAAAAAATACACACACACGCACACGCGAACACACATAATGTAGCACGGATACTATCAGGAGGCGTTCGGCTGCCGGCCGCCGGCAAGGTGACTCTGTGCACCCTGGGCGGTGGCGTTCGCCTAGGGGTCTGCCTCGTCCATCCAGCGGACGCGTCTCGTCGTAATGATACAATATGTTCCGTCCCATTCTGTACAGTACACGGCATACGCACATAGGTAGTATCCAGAGTGCTTGGCACCGCCGTTAAGTTGTAAGACGCCAACCAGCCGGTACGTGAAGTCGCCGGCCAGGTCGACGGAGCAGAACGACTGGTCGTTCTCGACGCAGGACTCGGATAGATGCGGCTGTTCCGATGCGTCAGCCGGCTCTCCCTTCTTCTTCTTCCGCGCACTGCCGGCCGTGCCCTAGGGCGCGGCAGACCGGGGCTGGTCCACAGGTGGCGTTGTCCGTCCCACTCGGTCGAGGAACTCCGTGACGT